CCACTGCATATATACACCAAGTTTACATACAAACTGTCTTTTGACTTACAACTAGAAAAAAGTATGCATTCAGTAGCATAAACATATATGTTTAAAGAATGAAATACATAGGGAAGAAAAATATTCAGACACCACAAATTAATAACTTTATAAACTTGTTTAAAAGCTGCTACTGGCAAATATAGCTTCAGGACATCTACAGCTTTTTTTTATTATTATTATTTTTTTTTTTAACAGCATCACACTTCAATTTTGGCCCATTCTCCAAGGTTACAAGGGTCCCTCTGATTAACAATTTAAGAGTTCTCAACAAATTTTCAGAGGGATTCAAATCAGAGGATTGGCTAGGCCATGCAAGCACCTTCACCTTTTTGTTTAGAAATCGGTCCTATTTTGGTTGTATGTTTTTCTTAGATTCCATTTCTGTAAGAAATTAAATTATCTTCTAACAAGAGAATTTAATCTCTTACAGCAATCATTTATCTTTCCTTTGATGATATGTAATGCCCAGGTACTGCGTACAGAGACACAGCCCGCTATCACAATGCTCCCACGTCTGTACATCATTATAGGTGCAGTCTTGTGATCATATACCGTGCCCATTACCCAAACATGACAAGCTGAATTACTGCCAAAATTCTATATTTGTTTCGTTTGACCAGAGTACATTCTTTCAAAAATGTTCCGATTTGTCTAAATGCTTGTGTGGAAATTTAATATGCGTGTATCTGTGCTTATTTTCTTACTGAGTAGTTTAAGTGGTGTGTAAGAGTTGACTGTGGTGCAGTTTATTGCTTATTAATTGTTCTCTGAGTACCTGTTGTTACTGCTGCTTTCAGGTCTTTCATGTCTTTCAAGTGACCACTGGCTTCTCTTATACCTTTGCATATGTATGCACGCATGTATATGTATACACAAACACACACACACACAATATGGACAAAAGTATTGGGACACCTACACATTACACCTACAGAAGTTTTTATGACATTCCACTCTAAATCCATAGGCATGAATAAGCTGGTCCCCCCCTTTGCAGCTATAACAGCTTCCACTCTTCTAAGAAGCTTTCTACAAGATTTTGGAGTGTCTGTGGGAATTTTCACCCATTCATCCAGAAGTGCATTTATACGGTCAGACACTGATGTTGGATGAAAGGACTTGTTTTACAATCTCTATTCTAGTTCATCCCAAAGGTGTTCATTCTGCTGCTGCTGTTGAAGTCATCAGTAAAATGAGTTTTCTCTGATCATTTACTACTGTGGTCTCCAATGGTCTACCAGTTTGTTGGCCATTTTAAGGTCACCAGGCCATTCCTGCTTAACCCTTGTGTGGTGTTCATGTTTTTGTTACTCAGTGGGTCTGGTGGACCCACTGCATTATTGTTTTCTTTTTTTTTTAAATCAATACAGCCATAACAATTTATGAAAAAATTTCAGACGTTTAAAATATCAAAAGTGGCCAGCAGAGGGTTCTCCTTTACCAGCTGTAGTCAATCAGCAGCCCTTCCATGTTGTCCACCCTCACACACACATATACAAACACATACACACACAGACACACATACTAACAGCAGGCCATGTAGGAGGAGAACAGAGCGAAGGGACACAGCACTTCTGCACTTTTATTCCCCCCAGGTTCTCCCCAACATCAGGTGTTATAGGGCTGCAACAAACGACTAATTCGACAGTCGAATAATCTATCGATTACTGAAACGAATAATCGATTATTCGGATTATGAATCACTACATTACCAAATAACTTTGATGTAGCTATTAGCTTTTAAATTTAGCTTGAGGTTGTTTTATGCATTTGCTAACAATGAAGACAAAGATGAATAACATTCAAGAATTCACTGTATTAATGAACTTGCCTGCTAATACAAAAGATAAAAAAACTCCAATATACGTTTCCTGTAAAAAAAAAAAATTATAACCAAGGATGTGTAAATTTAAATGTTACATTTTTAACAGTGCATCCTGCTGTCTGTCTACACTTTTCTGCAACTAAATTCTACAATCACATGTCTTTAGTAAAATGAAGGCAAGTCAGCATCTGTGCGTGCTCCTGTAAGGGGCTCGATCTCCTCTGAGAGCAGATATTCCCCGCTGAATTCACAAGCGGATGGGAAAATGGCGAATGTTTGTGGAAAACTTGTCCTCTATGAACAGTTAAAGGAACAATTTTGTGTACAGTTTCATTTCAATGGTAACCCTCTTTCCAGCTACCCTGTGTGTTCGTGGAGAACTACCTCCTTAAACTGTTAGCGAGTGGAGTCAAACGTTCGTGGAGAACAGAAAACAGTTTGCAGTCACTCTCCTGTGTTCGCTGAATTTGAACTCTGTTCCAACTCCACTAACAATACCAGAGAAAACGCATTTCAAAATGAGCTCAGCTCACAACACGAAGTAGGGAGGCTTTTAGCATTAACATTAGCTAACTAGCTCACTAGCACAACTATCGCCACGTTCCAAACCACACACTTCTGTACTTCATACACTACACTAATGAGTGCACTTCTAATGGTATTACGTTATTTTTACGCACTATTTAGTGTGCTAGTATGCGGTTTGGGACGCGACGTGTTACCGAGATGAATCTTCGTCATGCAGCCGACGAGTTTCCTCTTCAGATGCTCCAACATGGAGGATGTGTTCCCATGCCAGCCAAGGTCGGCTTTACAAATAGCACAACTGACAACTTTAAGCGTGAAATGCTCCCACACTTTTGAGGATTTTTTTTCTTGAGGCAACCATCGCGCTGTTGCGCTACTAATAATCATTGCACCCCTAATGTGTAATATAAATATGTAGGTGTGTACAGTGTTAAGTCAGTGAAAATGTGTTATTTTATATGCTCTTCACAGAAAATGAGCAAAGGCCAAGCAATCTGAGGTCGAAATAACAATAAATCGCATAATTTTTTTTTGGAAACATTGAAAATGGGTCCCACAGACCTGAACACCACATAAGGGTTAACAAATGTACCCAACGGGTAAACTTCACATGTCAAATGTTTAGGTATGTCTCTGATGGATTTTATCTGATTTTACAGTCTCACGATAGCCTGCCTGCTGTATCTAAATATTCCAGTTATGGTCCTTGAATATCAGTTTGCGGACAGCAGGAAAAAAGAATGGAGGCCCATGGCACATAGACTATGAGTTTGAATTGTGTCCTCAAATATAATGCCTTCCAAACATGTGTTTGTGACATGGGGTATAATTTAAATGCACTATGGTTTAAATCAAACCCATGTCCATCCTCACTCACTTGCCTGCAGACTGTCCCCAAGAAGCAGCCTTCGTCCTTTGCCAGACAATAAAACAACTAAATATCTTTCTTCCTTCCTAACAGATTCAATAACTGCTTTAGCTCACAAGTAATTAACAAGCTGGACCATTATGACAGGGACAGGCCAAGATGTCACACTCCCTGAACCTATTCCTCCTTAATATCGTGCTCTGTTTCTCAAAAATATCAGTGATCACGACCCATCATGCTGATAAAGTGAACAAGCAGAACCGTTTTGCCTACTACCACAGCACACCAAGTGCTGTACCTGTCTGCAGAGACCAAAATAACAGCTGCAGTAGTTTGGTCACTGCTAAGCAAACGTTCATAAATAGTAGTAATGTAATAAATACACAATATTGCCCAGCAACCCCTGCCAGGGTTATTATGGGGTGCTTTCTTGCCCCTGTAGAACATGCTCCTCTATCTCCAATCATCTTCAGTCACAAATGCAGATAATTATAGGACAACAGAATGAGAAGAGTAACCTCTCTTCTTGTTTTGCTCTCATCACATTCTTTTATTTTATGCTTTTTTCTTCTTAATTTTTTATTTATTTTTTTTATTTCATTTGTCTGTCTTCTTTCTCACAAGTGAAGATGGAATGGGCCCAGCCTTTAGGCCCATGGAGGGAGGGAGGGGGGGGAACGAAAGCTATTTAGTGGGACCCAACTTAGAAGGTTAACGAAACACAATATAATCCTCATGTTTCTCACACAGGTCCACGTTCAGCCTTCTACATGTGCCCAGCGAACCACGTCCATGTATTCTAACGGCATCTGTTCAATTATGACTTGAAATCTTCAGATTCAGTTACAGTTTGTGCAGGGACACTTAGCAGGGAGACTAACCAGCTCTGTGTCAGATATTTCTCAGTGGATGTCGCAAAATTTTCTACAATTACATCATGAAAAAACTGAATTACTGATTGTTGGTACAGAAAATTTTGAGAAACTTGGTTCTTTAGCTTCATCTACCAAACCTGAAGTATGAAACCTGGGTGTGATCTTAGACTCTGAGCTCTGTTTTACCCCACATGTAAACATGGTCACTAAAGTAGCTTTTTATCATTTAAGAAATATCTCTAAAGTTCGGCCTTTTCTATCTCAGAGCGACACAGAGAAACTTGTTCATGCATTTGTTACAAGCAGACTTGACTACTGTAATGCTCTTCTTGCTGGATGCATTTTTGTTTGGTAAAAATGTTAACCATCAGCAGAAGTAGTAAGGCAGTATTGCTACTTTATTGTTATCCTGAGGGCAGGGTCTATAGGTGATGACAGCAAATTCTATGCAAGCAGCACTTTAGTCATTTCGGTTATAGGATTACAGCTTTCTAAAGAAAAAAGCTAAATAAAAGACTATCAACAGATAAACAGGCCATCAACAAATTCTTCATTATTTCATTCTATTACTATCTGTCAAGAACTGCAGTACAGTGATAACTGGCTTTCTGTATACATATACTTGTAGAACACTCATTTAAAAAGCATAAAGAAACCTGCTCAAAGCACTGATGTCAGACTGCTGCTTTTATCTACAACTGTAGTAACAGCAAGACTGCACTATCTGCTTCAGGTGGAAGCAGGTCAAATCAACTGTGTGTGAAAACTGTGGGTGTGGGACAAAGTAACAAAGGAAGAATGAAGAAATAAAAAAAAAAAGAGAGAGACAAAGACCGAGAAAAAGTGAGTGCTGCATCCTCACCTGTGAGCTCAGAGTGGATGAGCTCAGAGAAGTTTGGATCGTCACCCCACCAGAACAGCCACAGCTCCCTGCGGCCCTGCCGCTGGCTCCGTCTCCACACGCTCAGCACGTCTGCCTTTAGACAGCGGCTGAAGCTGCTAAGGATGGGATCCTCCTCCGTCACAGGGAACAGCATAGGAGCTGAGGTGGGACCCTGCCACACATATCGCTTCCATTTGATTCCCGTCAGGTCAGCCTGAAAGAGGGCAAGAGACAAAGTCAGCTCATGCTTGTCTATCGTCTCAATAACCATGTTAACACACCTGGTCATTACAGTGTTCAGTGCAACCACCTATTTTAAACTGAAACTGGTCAAAATCATGCAACCTTCTGTTTTGCTGCAGATAATATGTGTTTAAGATTAAGTGACCCTTATTAGTCCCACAATGGGGAAATTTCACCTCTGCAATCTAACTCATCCATGCAGTGAAACACCACATACACACTAGTGAAGACACGCACTGGGGGGCAGTGAGCACACTTGCCCGAAGAGGTGGGCAGCCCTATCCGCAGCGCCCGGGGAGCAGTTGTGGGTTAGGTGGCTTGCTCAAGGGCACCTCAGTCACATACTGTCAGCTCAGGGGATCGAAGCAGCAACCTTCCGGTCACAAGGCTGGTTCCCTAACCTCCAGCCCCCATATATTACGCATATACATCCACATTTTTGATACAAACAAATAAACAAACAAACATACACACCACACACACACACACACACACATATACATATATATATATATATATATATATATATATATATATATATATATATATATACACACACACACACACACACACACACATATACACACACACACGAAGTCGCTTCTCATTCTCCAGCTTCTTGTTCGAATTTTCCCGTTCCACCTTAAATTCTGACTGAGGCGCAGAATGTAAATGCAGCACCATTTAAGGTGGAACGGGAGAATTCGAAAGAGAAGCTGAGTTCAGCTTCGTCACTTTTTAGTGTTTGACAGTCTCTCGTTGCAGATTTAACGTACCAGGAAACCAACTGCGCTGCTTATAAATGCGAATAACGCATCATTGCTAGGTGACCTGCAGTCTGCACGCCAATTCTCAGTCGTTGCAAAACACAGCTTTCGTGCAATGTTGCACGATACAGCATTCCCCCCCGCCCCCCCCAAAACCCCTTTCTCTACAACGAGACCAAAACCAAAGTTATAAAGTCACTAAAACCGGGTGGGACGGCTGTAACATGTGCTGCATGGACATACTATTGCCACTGGATCTTATTTCACTTTCAACTGCGCATTTCACTGCAGATGAGTGGCAGCAGCATCTCGTGCTCCAAAGGCAGTGAATGAGATCCTTCCAGTTCACTTGCCACATCACTTCCATTTGATTTATTAATAATAAATATTGGAAGTAAATTTATTATGGATCATTACAAATACTTTGCTTTGAAACTACCAAGTCCTCAGACAGTAGGAAAATAGAAATGATGTATAGAAAAAAAAAGATGCATCGATAATCGTTTTATAATCGCATCGCAGCCCTGTGAATCGTAATCGAATCGAATCGTGAGGTGCCTAAAGATTCCCATATATATACACACACATACACACGTTTATAACACTGTATAACAAAAGTAAAATTAATCACAAAAAAGGGGGAGCAGTAGATAGTTGCGCTAAAATCATAGAAACATGGCAATCAAAAGAAAACATGGGCTAGTGGGTCCAGAAGAGCTCAATTCACTGTAACGGAGAAAGCCTGTCATTATAATCATAGTTCTGGGTTTTAGTCAAAGAACAATAAACAACCACAGTTCAGACATAAATAAGGGACATAGCTTTTCAAGTGTTAAAATAAGAGCATTATGACAACGTTAAACTAACGGTATATATACACATACATATATATATATATATAAATTTATATTAGGGGTGGGAATCTCTAGGCACCTCACGATTCGATTACGATTCAGAGGGCTGCGATGCGATTATAAAACGATTATCGATGCATCTTGATGCATTTTTTTTTCTATATAGCATTTATATTTTCTCACTGTGTGCGCTCAAGTTTCAAGTTCAAGTTTCAAGTTTATTTGTCACTTGCACAACATGTCAGGACATTTATGCATTGAAATTCTCATGGTGAGGCTCAGCTAATCACTCTACAGAAAGTAAATAAATAAAAATACAAGAAAAACCAACTGAAATATATTAAATATACACAAAATATATACAGAATATACACAGAATATATACAGAATATAAAGACAATATACATTTGACAGTGACTAAGTAACTCAGTGTTATTGTTATTTAAAGTGATTTGGTACTTTTAAAGCAAAGTATTTGTAATGATCCATAATGAATTTACTTCCAGTATCTTTTTTAATAAAACTAATGGAAGTGATGTGGCAAGTGAACTAGAAGGTTCTCATTCACTGCTCTTGTTTGGAGCACGAGAAGCTGCTGCCACTCATCTGCGATAAAATGCGCAGTTACGGTGAAATAAGATCCAGTGGCAGTAGATGTCCATGCAGCACATGTTACAGCTATTTTACACATTTTCTTTAGTGATTTTATAACTTGGGTTTTGGTCTCGTTGTAGAGACAGGGGGGGGGTGTTGCTGTGTCAGTAAAGTATCTTTGAGACGGGACGTGTGCAACATAGCGCGAAAGCCCTGTTTCGCAACGACTGAGAACTGGCGTGCAGACTGCAGGTCACATAGCAGTGATGCGTTATTCGCATTTATAAGCAGCGCACTTGGTTTCCTGGTACGTTAAATCTGCAACGAGAGACTGTCAAACACTAAAAAGTGGCGAAGATGAAGTCAGCTTCTCTTTCGAATTCTCCCGTTCCACCTTAAATGGTGCTGCATTTACATTCTGCGCCTCAGTCAGAATTTAAGGTGGAACGGGTAAATTCGAACAAGGAGCTGGAGAATAAGAAGCGACTTCAGCCTCGTAAAACAGTCGAACGTTGAGAGACATTTAACTGATCTACTTCTGAGGAAAAGTTTTCTGGCGGAGATGTGAGGAAAGCGGCTATAGCTGAAGCTTAAAGCACAGAGTAAATCTGCGTTTTCGTTTATATTGTTTAGTCCATACTAGGACATCACATACTGAGACATACTGGACATTAAATGTTGCGGCTCCCAGGGTGGTTTGATTTTTGTTGAAAGGACAAAATGTTAATATTTGGGTTGTGACTCCTGACCTAACCTGGCTTTTAATGCAGAGGGAGCCGGTTGGATTTCTCACTCATCCAGTAGTGTATATATATATATACACACACACACACACACACACACACACACACACACGTATATATTAGGGGTGGGAATCTCTAGGCACCTCACGATTCGATTACAAATCAGAGGGCTGCGATGCGATTATAAAACGATTATCGATGCATCTTGACGCATCTTTTTTTCTATACAGGATTTCTATTTTCTCACTGTGAGAGGACTTGGTACTTTTAAAGCGTATTTCAAGAGTATTTGTAATGATCCATAACGAATTTACTTCCAATATGTTTTATTAATAAAACAAAAAGAAGTGATGTGGCAAGTGAACTAGAAGGCTCTCATTCACTGCTCTTGTTTGGAGCACATGAGACGATGACTGCCACTCATATGCGATAAAATGCGCTGCTACGGTGACATAAGATCCAGTGGCAATAGGTGTCCACGCAGCATGTTACACCTACCCGTTTTCTTTAGCGATTTTATAACTACGATTTTGGTCTCGTTGGGGTGCTCGCTGTGTCAGTAAAATATCTTCGAGATCGGACGTGTGCAACATAGCACGAAAGCCCTGGTTCTCAACGACTGAGAACCGGCGTGCAGACCGCAGGCCACAGAGCAACGCAGTCTCGCCTAGCTAGTAGCTAACAAAAAGTCAAAGAGAGAGATTTAAGACAGACATGTGGAGACGAACAGACTTATTCGCATTTACACGCAGAACGTACCAGGAAACCAACTGCGGTGCTTATAAATGCGAATAACGCATCGCTGCTTTGTGACCTGCAGTCTGCACGCCAGTTCTCAGTCATTGCGAAACAGGGCTTTCGCGCTATGTTGCACACGTCCCGTCTCAAAGATACTTTACTGACACAGCGATGACCCCCCGTCTCTACAACGAGACCAAAACCCAAGTTCTAAATCACTAAAGAAAATGTGTAGAATAGCTGTAACGTGCTGCGTGGACATCCACTGCCACTGGATCTTATTTCACCGTAACTGCGCATTTTATCGCAGATAAGTAGCAGCAGCGTCTCCAAACAAGAGCAGTGAATGAGAGCCTTCTAGTTCACTTGCCACATCACTTCCATTAGTTTTATTAAAAAAGATATTGGAAGTAAATTCATTATGGATCATTACAAAAACTTTGCTTTAAAAGTACCAAGTCACTTTAAATAACAATAACACCGAGTTACTTAGTCACTTTAAAATGTATATTGTCTCTACATTCTGAATATATTTTGTGTATATTTAATATATTTCAGTTGGTTTTTCTTGTATTTTTATTTTTACTTATTTACTTTCTGTAGAGTGATTGCCTGTGCCTCACCACAAGCATTTCAATGCATAAATGTCCTGACAAATAAACTTGAAACTTGAACTCGAAACTTGATCTCACACAGTGAGAAAATATAAATGCTATATAGAAAAAAAAGATGCATCGAGATGCATTGATAATCGTTTTATAATCGCTTGGCAGCACTCTGAATCGTAATCGAATCGTGAGGTGCCTAGAGATTCCCACCCATAATATATACACACACACACATATACATATACACACACACACACACACACATACATATATATATATACATACATACATATATACATATATACATATATATATACATACATATATACATATATATATATATATATATATATATATATATATATATATATATATATATATTCACACACAGACACACACACACACACACAGAATTACAGACCACTGCAATATGCAAATGAGCCCCAATCCCAAAGTTCCAGTTAAGCGCTGGTCAAAATAATGCACACCACTCCAAGATGCAGCAATGTGATCACAATAGTATTTTGTCTATATGATCCAACCTTAGTTGCAATGTCAAGCAACAACCTAGGTAAACGACATTTGGAACGCAGAAACCTCTGTATTTTGCAATCTTACACAAGTGTTTGTCTAAGCCATGAGTAGTGTAATCATGAACATGACACTA